AAAGAGTGTGATGCTCATCAAATGGAGGAGCATCTGGCAGGAAGGGTATCATCCAGGTTCTGGCAAGGTTCAGAGATCGGTCCTTTTTAGTGAAGCACCATGTTGGCAGTTCACATTGAATTGCTTTCCAGCAGTCACACGTAAATTCTCTTGAATCATCGCTGCCCATATACTTTTTCTAGGTAGGACCAGCATTCATCCTTATTAGATAAGGACCTTTTTATTGTTCTGTATTGAAACAAATTTTCTTGAAATACTCTGTTTGCCAAGTCACCAAGATTATTACCACTTTACCTGTACTTATTCTTCCAACCTTTATTACAAAAATTCATTTTAACACTTAAATATTAAAACCTTTTATTGTGAGAGAAACCAACCTTTTATATATTTCTCCAGTAATTAAGTAAAATCCCAGTGCATGACTTCTAGATAAGCATAGAGAAAGGTTAGCTAATGCTGCTTTCTTATGAATGAAATTTTATCCTTTTTTCATAAAGAAACAAAAACGTTAGGATTCTTTTGCCTTCCCCTTCCCCCCCAAAAAATATGTATATATGTGTGTGTGTGTGTGTGTGTGTATATATCCCTTCAGTCACTGAAAAGTGTCTGCAGAAGTGTCTGATCTCTTGCTAAAGATTTTATTTTAATACTAACTACAGTTAACATTAAATAAAGTTATGGCCTTCAGAGAAGTTGCATTTAACTTAAGTATGGACTTTGGTAGTACAGTTTAGTTTACTTATAAGAAGAAATATTTATCCCCAGGTGAATTATCTGAATGCTGAGCTGTGAAAATGGATACATCTTTGTTCTAAAATGGCGAAGTATTTTTCTGTTTTAAAGTATAGGCTCAAAATCTTTTGCTGATATGGTTAAAAGATGAAATATGCATATATTTTAACAGAAAGAAGACAAACCCATACAAGACAGAAAAACTCCAAATAAAAAAGATGTTTTTCTCCTAGACTTAGATGACTGTAAGTATCTTGATTAAAACTTTGTTTATTTTCTCCTGTAGGAAAAAATCAGTTTAATTCAATGAAAATTCAAATGTCTGAAACGATTATTCATTTATTATTCCTGTCCTAACGCAGAAATATCACTCAGACCATCAACTTTTGAAGCATAATTATTGGAGTACATGATCTTGTTTATTTTAAAACTGAAAAACAGTTTCAAAATTTGGACTATATTAATGTATAAAACATTTGCTTTGAGGAATTTTGTATGTCTGAACTTTCTTTTTTAAGTAGGTTTATTTCAGCTTGTACCAGTGAATATTTCTTTAACAACATCTGTGCATTCTAACCAATTAATTAGTTATATGATTGTAATAAGGTATTAAAAATGATGATTTTGGAAAACAGATCAAAATGTAATCTTGGAAGAGTAGATTAAAGCTGGTAAAGATGCTTTTTGCTATTGTCATTTCCAGTCTTTTAAATTTTTGTAAAGTTAAATAACAACTGCTTTTTTGTTTCTAGTTTGTCCTGTGACATCCCCTGCAGCCGTTCCTGCAACAGCTGTTTTGTCCCCAGGTTTAGTAGCAGACCTAGAGGGATTAAGTCTGTCAGGTTCATCGGTCATTGATGTAAGTAGCCTTAAAAAGGATGTGTGGGGAACGTTGTTGTTTTTTTTTTTTTTTTTTCCTCCTCCCCTCCCTTTATCAATACCTTGAGGTATTATATGAAATTCTGGTCTATGTGCAAGTTTGACATCTTCTGCTGAACTGCAATAATAAAATTCAGAAAGCTGGAGAAAAGTATGAATAGGAGGGGGGTTTCAAAGCATTTTAGCCTTCTCTTTCAGTCTGACTTTCTTCACCTCAGGGAAACTTGTACTCACAAATTAGGTATCCAAATCTTGTAAGCCTTTCAAATCCTCCAATTGCTACAATATAAAGGAAAACCTACATAAAATTAAGTATTTGTTAAATATTTGTTAATTCTTAACCTTCTGTTCTTTATACATGCCTACAACTATGACATTTTACTGCTTGCAAGTAATTTTTCATGAGTATACAAAGCATAGCCCCTGGGTGCAAATAAAAAGGGTATGGATTTACAATCAGTGGTGTATCAGTATGTGTCATGATTCATTCTGTTAGCGCTTTCTGCTTTGTAGCCCTTTCCATTAGGGAATCTCAAAACTATAGGTATAATTAAACTTAGCAAAGTCATGGAGGTAAAGGGCATTTCTTTGTTGCATGAGAATAATGTTTTGTGTTCTGGTTCTATTTTATTTTCCTTAACTTTAAGCACTTTGTGCATCTGTTTTAAATACGCAGTTTCATAAGCAATTGCACCCTGCAATGCAGGGTAGTTGACCACAATTTCTTCTTCTCCATCCTTTGAGGCTTTAACAGGTTAAAACAGGGGCTATGATCTGTTTTCTTGCTAATGGCTTGACTTAAAATAACTGGTTTCTTTGGTGTTTTTCAGAATTATCCTTTTTGAGGGTAGGTTAAAGACTGCTGTTGCTAATGTTTAGTGCTTGAGAACAGTCTTTTTTGTCATTATTTTTTTCACCATCTGCAATACATGAACATCTTTTCACCATGAACACTCATTCCACTTCCCACAAAGCTGTGCTTGCTTTCTCCAGAACCACTGCAATTGGTTTCCAAGGGTAGTTGAAAGTAAAAAAAAAAAAACTAACAGAAGCATGAGCTAGAAGGTGCAAGCTAAACAAGGGAGGAAGTCTGCATAAATGAGTTGGTTCTTCAAAATGCCTCTGTCTTAATACTGCAGAGGTCTGCTTAAAATGCACAGCCAGAAAAGGGAGTCAGAACACTTCGTCATACTTCCAGCTCTAGCAACTCCCCAAAATCATGTAAGAACTAATTGTTGCTGTCTGCATCAAGGTTACTCATATAGGGCTATATTCAGTGTTCAGACCTGTATGCTTGGCTCTTTCCATTGGTGAGAATTGTAGACATGCAAGAGGCTTTTTGCTGTTTGTGCTTCAGGAAGCAACAATATTTAAACCTTGAAAACTGTTCTTTCAAATGAAAGATTGTAAGTCTTGTATGCAGGTAGTTAACTAATTAGTCATACATTATTCAGTAACCATCAGGTTATTTATTTACCACCAGGTAAATTTCTGAAAATTCATGGCTTTTAAAACTTTTATGTGGGAATATGCCTCTTAAAATAGTGTTTTGAATTTAGTTTGTGACCACTACTTCTAAAAATGAGATTAGCTGTCATACCTCAGAAAACTTTTTTTTTTTTTTTTTGCCTTCAGTGAGAGAGAAAATGAATTTAACTGTAGGACACACGCCAAACTAATAGTAAGAAATTAATTTATTACTAGGCAATGGAGAGCATGGAGTAAAAATAGATAAGTACAGTATATGACCCTAATATCAAAGAAATGTAGCAACCACTTATCTTGGAATACGTCAGACAGTCTATTATTCAAATCATTCAGCACTGTAATTGAATACAGCTTTTATAATCTTTATCTGTAAATTCATAGCTGCTGAACATTATAGGAAGTATAAATGACAATTGTTTTTCACAAATACTATGAGTTTCTTTAAACCTATAAAAACAAAATATCCTTGAATAAAACTGCAGCGTGCAACCTGCGCTCTGTCCTGCGGCTCATTTGTTTTAAGGATTTATATGTTCATATAACATGCTTTTCACATGCATGCGCCTGCACATGTGCCTGTTACAGATTGTTTCAGGGCAAATGAAATTCTCTTTGTAACAGAAGTGTTCTCACTCAGGTAATTGGAGAGTAATTTTCTTCTGTTAAGTGAACACAAAATTTGATACATCATTGTGCATCCATCTGTAGGCCATGTTTAGCTGGCTCAACCAAACCAAGTAACTGATATCTCCAGAAGATACTACTGGGGTTTTCAGGGATGTGCACGTGAGAGCTCAGAGCTAGACACTTGGTGAAACTGCATTTGGGGAAGACAGTTTGAGACTGTGAGGTATATCTGAAGGTTCAGAAGATACTTGAAGAAATAATGCCAGGTGAAGAAGGACTAGAGAAATTCGGTCGTTTTCAGGGTATGGTGATTATCTGAAAACACTGGAAATGGGTGTTGTCCTCTAAAGGAAAGTCATAAAGCAATAGAAGAGGAAACTGAAAGCAGACCTTGTGAATGGCACAAGGACAGGGAGGGTTCTAAAACTACTGCAGGAAATAATATTGTGAGCTTTTAGGTGGGAGGAGAGATCTGTGGTAGCAGAGAAGAACCAGTTTCATGGGGGGAAGAGTCAAGAGAGTGTGATAAGAGAAGCTTGTGAAAAGCTTACAGGAAAAAGGGGGAGAATTCTCAATGCTGTAGTGGAGAGGTACTTAAAGAAAATACATTTCATGTACTAATTGAGTGTCATCATTAGTTATTAGGTGTATTGAATTATGGCATGATTGTTGAAGTAGTACTGCTTTACTTGCTAGATGTTCTATATATTCTCTTGATAATCACAGTTACTAATAATGTGCATTTTATTGTTCTGTACTATTCAAAGTTTCACAAAATCATACTGCTTTCTATCCTGTGAATCCTCTGCAAAACTTTGGATTAAGATCCAGTTTGAGAACTTCGCTAGAGTGATTATGCATAGAGCAGAAAAAAATAGCATTTGACAAAGGTCAAGGTTGAACTGCAGAACTGTCAAACCATGTGATAAATACTTTTAATTACCAATTTAGCGCACTTATTTATTGAGAAATATTAAACATGGGCTACCTGGATACATGGATTCAGCTGGAGATCTCTTCAGAGTAGGAGCACGCCTTAAATAGTATTTTAATATCTCAACTGCCAAGGTAGTTTTTACAGAGGAGATTTTTTTTTTATCATTTTAGGTTACTTTGTCCATATAAGCTAGTTCTAATATCCATTCAAGCTAGTGTTAAAAAAAAAATCATGAATGATGGTATTTTTTCCTTGTGTAAGGATCTCTGGCTAGAATTAACCAGAAATCCAGAAACTGCAATAATGGATTAGACTGTGGAGATTGCCTGATATGCAGCCTCCAGCAGAGATTAGTGAGAGGTGTGTAAGAATTTGCCACATCCTATGGTGGAGAAATGAATGGTGGTCGTTCTTTCAAGCAGTTAGTTATGGGCATGCAGTCTCCTTCATGAGTTTTATTGTTCCAAAGTGTTCTTAGCACCAGCTGTTATATAACTGGGTATATTTATTGTTCATGAAACTCTGGCCTGGATTTTTGCTGGGTGAATTAGAATTACCTCAGGAGTGGCTATGTCATCAGGAGAAACTTAAATTCAATTATTATTTGAAACTGATGCAATGCCATCACTTATGAGAACAGCAGATTGCATGTGATGGCTTTAATAGGTTCTTGCTATTCTTCTGCCCTGTGTTCCCAAAGATACTTCAATATTTTAACAACCATTGACTGACTGTTTTCTAGTATCTTCTTTTATATTTTAAATATATATATATATATAAATAAAAGCAACTGCTCTTGTCCCTCTGAAATATTTTTACCTACCTAACGGAAGTTCCTAATATATATTTTTATTGGGTGTTTTTGTGGTTTTGTGTTACGATAATGCATGCTGTTGGTTGGTGCCTGTGAAGCAAGTGTAAAGGTGTGTTCTTAAATTGAAGAGTTAAAAAGCAGCTTTCTCAGAGCGCTGCCCAACACTGGGCTCAGCGCAGCTGATTAGGTGTGACTGATGCTTGTGGGAAGGCAATGTGCTCCAGTGGCTCTGGATCTGGGTATTACATATGGAAAATGAGTTCTATTTTTGGGTTGCTACTTGCTGTGTGATCTAGAGGGAGTAACTTAATCTTTTAGCTTTCCATCTGAAAAATGAGGATAGTGATGCTTACTCACCTTGAGATAGCACTTCTACAAATGCATGTGGCTGCCTATCGCAAGGTATTAACCACTGCCAAGACAAAAGGAAGAAAGGAACCTTTTAAATAATAAACTTTATTTTTCCATGTTTATTCGAGTTTTCTGCATGTTCTTCAAATGGTAGCATGGTATATCTGGTAAGTGAAGTATTTGAAAGCTGTAATGACATTCCAGAAATTGTTTCCATGTGCTTTTGGAATTTTTGAAATGATAATTTGAAGGAGAAAAAAAAAAAAAAAAAAGCTATGAAACTCTCCTTTAAAAAGTGTCATTTCATCTTCATTATTTAATTAGAAATTTCATTGGAGCACATATTTGTAAAGTTTTTTTAGTATTTAAGCCTTAAAAATACCCCTATTCTTTCCTAAGAAATACCCCCATTCACTATTATTTAAAGAGCTCCACATTTGAGAATAAGAACCTTTAACTTTTTCTTTCAAATAAATTTGAGAATTTAATCCAGAAGTTAAAGCAATTTAAACAAAAATTTTCTGTCTAAGTCAAAAACAAATTCCTTATACAAGGTGCAGTCCCAATAATATCCGCCACCTGTGCAGCATATTGTATTATTACTATGTATGATGTCATTACTTGAGTTGAGACTTCTATGTATTTTAGTACTAAATGTTCTCTGGATTGGATCTTAAAGTATATAATGAGTTAAGTAGCAGTCAAGTAATGAAATTACATACACATATATACATATGTGTATATATATATGTATATATGCATG